TCTATAGAACAGGCAAAGGGTCAATTCTCCCAACTACCTACCGAAAAAATGAGACACCCCCGCTCCTCGCCTGTCAGTGAATATGAGGATGAGGCAAAGGAGAAGGATGAGGAAAGGGGGGAGCCGGAGGAGGACCAGCGTAAACCCAAGACTCATCGACGATGTTGGAACAGACCCTCCCTCCAAGCTCCTTCTTCAAAAGCGCCGACAAAGACCCATTGTCACTGATGGAAGCGCCCCGTTGGAAAACAACCGTTTGAAAATCCTGAAGTGTGCTGAAAAGCCATTCCTGGGACTTCAGCGCAGCGAATCACCGTTAGCGTTGCGCTTTGACGATCCTGAATCGTGTCGAAACACCAGCTAGGGGACGTTAGCCCTGATAATCCATGAATACGTTGTACACACTTGCAACAAACGCGCGGCGCTAAGGCGATAACCATAATTTGAAAAATAACCGCCGTCATCCGATATTGAAGACGATGTGCGCGGCGCTAAAACGAGAAACACATGTTGAAAACCACCCGCCCTCCATCCGCGAAACTCTTGCGAATATTTAAAGCGGATGTGCGCGGCGCTAAGAGAAGAGCCATACTTTGAAAATGACTCGTTCTCTATGTGTAGAACTCTTGCATGCTTTACAAACGGATGTGCGCGGCACTGAGGAAAGAACCACATGTTGAACACCACTGTTTGAAAACTACCCGCCCACTTTCCCCATGAAACTCGTGCTACTTGTCAACTGCAGGATCATGTATGGTGAGGAGGTCCCAGGCGAAATGCCCGGTCCGCCCTTTCGACAGGCTTCAGGAAGAACTCATCTATGACGAAAAGGAATAGAGGAGGAGGAGGAGGAGGAGGAGGAGGAGGAGGAGGAGGAGGAGGAGCATGAGGAGGAGGAGGAGGAGGAGGGGGAGGAGGAAAAGAGGGAGGAGGGAGGAAGGCTCCCCGCCCATAGAGGGAAGAGTCAAGGGGAGAGAAGGGACAAATTTAGGTGGGGGGCCCATCAGATGATAACTGTCTGTCACCGCCCGAGGCTGCGCCCCACCTCGGGCGGGTCCAACCGACAGCCCCACCCACCCCCCGAAATTAGCCCTCGGCCTTGGGATCAATGTCGTGTGTCGCCATCGCCCGAAGACGAAGCCATAGGTAAGGGACCAGTCGAATGTGAAGAATGATCAGGATCAAGGCGGTACGGTAATGCGGCTGCGGCGGGACGCCCCGAGGGCCGCCTTAAGGCCCTCTTGAACCACCAGACGGTCCTCGGGGCCTGAGCTTCGGGCCTCTCGTCGGGCCTGGGCTTCGGCTCGGTCCACGAGCACCTGTCGACCGAGCACCTCCGCTCCCCCACGGGAGCTGAAACCAAAGGCGAACACCACGGAATTCAGCCTGAGGCGCGGGGCACCGGGCTGCTTCGAAAACGGAATATCCTTCGGCGCCCTGGGAACCTCCGCAGCCCCAACAAGGGGTCTCACCCAAGCGTTTAGAGAAACGGGCCCGAGTCTCAGCCGTCGGGGCCGACGATGCCCTGAGCGCAATGAGGGGGAAAAAGGCAGGGTGGACATCTCCTCTAAGCCTCTTCGTAAATGTGTACGCCGACCCACCAGAGAGGTTCTTCGGACCCTTACAGATGCCTGTGAGACCTCTCTGTATGGGGATGGTCGCATACTGCCAGCACGATGGGCAGTGAATGATTGGGTCTGGGTCAGGGACCGAACCCTGGACCACGCAATGATTGTTGCTTCGCCAGGGCTGGACGCCCTTGCCGAGCAACCACTGGGAAACTTCTGAGGCGGGCCCCCAGGGAGAACCTCAGCACCAGCAGCCGCACCAGCAGGAGGTTCGAGGGGAGGAGGATCAGGCCCCAGTGGCTCCGCCTCAGGAACCTCATCGTCCCCAATTCGTTGGAATTCAACAACCCCCAACTCGATTTTCTTGAGGTCATCAACTCAACAGTTATCTATGGTCCCTGCATCGGCCATAGAGGCCGTCAGATGGGCCGAAAATTTCGCAGCAAGCATCACAGTGTCGAGACATCCTGGCATCCGAGGCGCGAGGAGAGCGGAAGGAGGCGGAGGAGGGGGAGGGGATGGCTGCGTCCAATATGACTCGGAAGCCACCAGCCTTAGGCTTAGAGGGAGGAGGGAGGTGGAGGACAGGGAGGGAGCACCCTCATCGTCCCCTTCCCCCCTGCTCCTCTTCCTCCTCCTCCTCGTCCTCCTCCTCCTCATCCTTCTCATCATCATCACTGTACTCGACTGCTGCATCAGCATCAGCATCAGCATCAGCATCAACATCGGCTGCTACAACAAGGCCGATGTCGACGGCAGGCAGTTCCCTCCGCTCTCGGTGCCCCCGGCGCGGGGGCAGCCTCCTGAGGGAGGCAATGGAGGCAGAGGGGGCCACCCGAAAGGTCGACCAGCCCAGGGCGGATCGGCCACCGCGAGGAGCTCTACCTGGCGGACGTCCAGCAAGAGGGCACGACTGGAACTCTCCTCGTGCTGGACAAGGACAGGGCCGAGGAACGGCGGGAAGAGGTGGCAGTGGCCCCCAGCCCAGGCCAAGAGGAGGAAGCCACCCGCGCGGCTGCCCACGCCGGAGGCTGTCCGCACCGGCGTCAAAAACAATGCTAAGTGCGCTTTGCGACAACACATAGGGTCATGTTCGGAGGCCCCGCGAGCATGTTGTGTTGTTTTTGTTGACAGAGACGGCGGGAGTGTCAGCATATGGCCTGCTGTCTGGGCGCAGGGCCGCCATCCCTGTCAAAAACCATAAAAGCTACTTCGCGACTCCAACTGGATCATGCGCGGCCACCCCGCGATCACGTCGCATTGGTTTTGACAGGGACGGAGGCCTTCTTTGGTCTAACTCTCCTAGATTGCCCCAAGATGGCCCTCAAAGCTCCCAAGAGTGCCTCAAGAGGGCCCCAAGAGGACCCCAAGAGACCCCCAAGAGATCCCAAGAGGCCCCAAGAGGCCCCAAGAGGCGTCCCCAAGGCACCCAATACGCTCCTAGAGGCCCCCGGGACCGCCAAGAGGCTCCCTAGATGCCCCAAGAGTACTCCTCTTTCTCCTCCCCCCTCCCCCCCTCCCCCATCCCGCTGCCCCTCCTCGTACTCCTCCTACTCCTCCCCCGATTCCTCCTCCATCCTCCCCCTCTTGGGGTATGACGGCTTCCCCAGCCCTTTATTCCACTGCATGCTCCTACAAAGCCCTGATCCCTGATCAGGGTAACTCCCCTGGGCATCGTTTCTGGATGGGATGGTGAAGCTATGCGAAGCGTCGTGACAGGGAAGACAATGACGTGAGACAATCACGCTGGTACGAGCAAGAATCCTCGTGGCCCCAGACGAGCGCCCAAACTACGCAGCCACCGACGACGACGACGACGACGGCGGCTGCGGCTGCGGCGGCGGCGGCGGCGGTGCCGACGACGACGACGACCTACTTGTCATTCTCCCCTAACGCGATGTCAGCTCCTCCGCGCGTCTACTCTTGCTCCTCCACCTCCCCGCTCCTCCATCCTCCTCCACCCTCGTTCATCCTGTGACTCCCCATCCACCTCCTCGTGCTCCTCTCGGCGGCTGCCCTACCCTCCTTCACACCTCGTCGTGCTGATCGAACTGCATTCTCCTCTTGAGATCATGCCGCTTGCTGTTCATCTTGCTTCAACCGTCGCTCCGTCTGTTTGGCACCGCATCTGTTTCATCCGCCACCGTCCCTGCATGCAGTGGGCGTGTTGGAATGTAATTCGTTCGTCTGGTGAATGTGTGTGCTTTAGTGTTAGAAGGGCCGATCCCCCCCCCTCTTGCTCGCGCGCGCTCTAAAAATTCCCCCCCCCGTCCTTTCTGCGTCCTGACAGTCAAACAACAGCCCAAAACTGCCCCAAGGCAGCAAAGGTAGCCTCAAGATGGCCCAGAAGGCTTCCAAAATGCCCCCAAGACAACTCAAGAATGGGCCTCGAGACGGGCCAGGAGGGCCTCAGCATTGCCCTAAGATGAACTCACGGCGGAGAGGCCCCCCCAAGTCGTCCTAAGAGGGCACCAAGAACATGCCCCAAGGGCTCTCGAGAGGCAGCAAAGCATTGAGTGTCCTTACGTTGTCGAGCGAGTTGTACATACTGGCCACTGGCCTTTCTGGGCTTCTGTCAGCCCAAGACGGTCCAACATGTTCCCAAGAAGTTTCCAAGACGGCCCGAGAGAGCCTTACGAGGACCCCCGATGACCCCCAACAGCCCAGGAGGGCTCCAAGACGGCATGAAGGGGTCCCAAGACGGCCCAGACGGCTAAAGAAGCCCCCACGACGACCCAAGAGGCCCCCAAGATAGGCACAACGCGGGGCCATAGAAGGGAACACCGAGCTGGCCTTGAGAGCCTTTTCCTACGAGATTGCCTGCAAGATCCCCAACATGCACTCCGGAGCCACCAAGACGTCCTAGAAAGGCCCTGAGAGCCCCCCAAGGGGCCTCCAAGAGGCCTTCAAAAGCCCCCCAACAGGCCCCCATCCTGCGACTTGCACAAGCACGGTGGCGGGGTCTGCAGCAGGCAATTTGATATTCCTGCATCTTACGTTTGTCAACCACCATACTCGCTCCCCCCAACATGACAAGTGTCACAATGATGACATCATCCGCGGTAAAACCAGAATCGCACCCCTGCTTGGCAGTATGTGCCCTTGACGTAGGCTTTTCCACTCTCCCAACGCGCGCGCGCAAGATTCACATGCCTGAGCTCTGGGTGCTGCAAACAAGACTCGGGCGCGGGAAGAAAATACTGAACCTATCAAAACCGCAGTGCACAAATCCCATTCAGAGAGGCACTTTCTGAAGGCAGTTTCGCAACTACAGTGGCCCACACAGTCCACGTCCACACACATATACAAAACATATGCAAGCACTGACTGCGCCTTCGATGGTCAATCCTGACTCCGCAGATGGGTGCAAGCTCAATGTGGTGGCCTACCTATACACCCATGAATTCCGACATGTAACCTGGTAATGGGAGCTCAGGCTGTGGCCGCGAAGGTCTGCGCTTCCCTTCTGATTCTGAGCAGCTTCTTCTGCTGCTTTTCTGTGAGCGCCGCTGCGCACTGCTGGAGTCTGGCGTCGTCCATTCCGAGCAGCATTTGCGCGATGGCCGCGCTTGTCTCTGCCTCGCACATGTCCGTCTTGTAAGCATCGGCTAACAGTGACAGCAGTCGTGGTGCGTTCTGCCAACCCTCGCCGACGACGTGAGCGTGCTGCTGCTGCATCAACATGAGCAATATCTTGTTATTGCGCTGACCCTCCTGCTCGTCCTCCTGACATGGCATTCCAGCCAGCCAAGTGCTCCAGAGCTGCTGTTCGGCGGCAGCGATGACTGCTTTGTGGTTCAGCAAAACTTGCACTAAAGCAGAAAGCGCGTTGTCAGCTGCGGCCTGCAGAGGCTTTGCGGACTTCTTCTTGCCCTGCCCTCTGGCCTGCTGAATGCTCTCCACGGCCTTCCAAGATCAATCAACATCGAGCCGTGGAATCGGATCGAATCGAAATGTGCGCTGGATCGGGCTGCATTGGCAAGGAGCCATAATCGGACTGGACCGGCTGCGCAAGGATGCACAACCTCGCCATGCAAGTATCAGGCCACATCGAAGCGCTGGAAAACCGAACTCGAACCCGAATCAAGAGGCCTCCTTGATGGGGTCGGAGTGGATGGGGTCGGGGGATCGCGCCGCATCGCGGAAACATCGGCGATGCATTGGCGTTACATCGGCGATGCACCGGCGATGCATGGTCGACGCGAGCGATGCATCGGCGACGTTGGCGTGAAGGAAATCGGGCTCGACATCGATCCGCATCGGCGATGCATCGGCGATGCGGCGCGATCCTCTGACCCTAGGAGTCCTGGGTAATCGGACCGAACCAGCCGAAGTCGACCTCGAATCAGATCGGTCGGATTGAAGTGAGGCCCGCCTTCTGCGCCGTGGCCTGCGCGTGGGGCGCGAACGCCTGCAACTTCGCCGCGGCAGACGCGGCGTAAAACGCCATGCCTTTCAGGCCGGGGCACTCGTGGCCCATGTTCTGCAGAACCCGGGGCAGGAAGCTGTCCCAATGAGGGGCCACGCCCTCCCCCAGGTGCTCGAAGATACCGGCCGCGGCCAGCACCGCGAGGTGCTGGTCGTCGTCGCAGCAGCTCGGCTGTACGAGTAGGAGGCCACATGCGAACCCTACCCCACCACCCCACGATTTCTCAGGGGGGAGGTGGGGTCCACTTCGATCGGGACCTCCCGAGCGAAGTGAACCCCGCCTCCCCCCTGAAGATATCGTGGGGTGGTGGGGTAGGTTTCGCATGTGGCCTCCTAATGAGTTTCTGCACCATCTGCAAGAGCAGCGGCAGGCCCTCTGCTGTGAAGTGCGCGGGGTGGTGCTCCATCAGCACGATGATCATGTGGCAGGCCGCGGTTCGCAGCTCCTCCTCTTCCTCGCTGCCGCTGGCAGAGCTCTTGTCGTCCTCCTCGGCAGCTGGAGCGGCTGGGGCGCTCTTGCCCTGCGGCTTCTGCTCCCGCCTCGCCAATGACTCGCTGATGATCCTTAGCGCCACCTGGCAGATGTGCTTCACCTCTGCGGGGCCCAGGATGCCCGGGCCGGCTCGGTCCAGGCACACCTTCACACCGTCAGCCCGCACCTTCTGCGCCTCCAGGTCCGAGTCGCCCTTCTCGAGCTTCGGCAGGATGCGCTTCAGGAGCTCCTGCACGAGCTCCTGCAGCATGCTGGCCTGCTGGCCCTTGCGGGCGCAGTTGAGGAGGTGGCCCCAAGTCTCGAACGCCGCGTCCCGGATCTGCTCGCTCATGTTGAAGTCGAAGACCGGCAGCAGGGCCTGCGCCGTCTGTGCCAGGAACGGTGTGAAATGCGCCCCGAGCTTCTCGGCGAAGGTCTGCATGCACTCCAAAGCATTACCCAGGTCCTCAAGCTCTGCCGTGTTGACCACGAGCACTTTGACCTCGCCGTCGTCACCCTGGGTGATTGCAAGGCTGAGATTTGGGTTTTCGTCGTCAAGGTTATCCTTGCTGCTGTCGTACTCCTTCGGAGCCAGCTTGCACTTTGCCAGAATCCCGGGAAGCAGGTGCGGCACGATGGGCAAGAACTCCTCCTTGAGCGTCGAGCACAACCGCTCAGCCGCTGCCATGACATATTCCTGGACGGGGTCGTCCTTGGGCAAGTTGGGCACGGTGCACGCCTGAACCATGGCTTGCATGATAACCTCGGCGTCTGGCCTGAAGGCCTCACGGCCCACGACGTTTGCCAGCAGAGAGATGCATTCGAAAGTCTTCCCCAGCAGCTTGCGCTCCTCCGCCTTGTGAAGAGTCGCGCTGATGATCTGCTTGAGCACGGGCATCAGCGGCGCGTAGTACTGGGCGAGGCCGTCCTCGATCTGCCCAGCGATCACGGCGATGCAAGTGATGGCCTCGCGCTGGAGCTTGGAGGACTGGCCCTGCAGCCTGGCCCCCAGGCTGCCCATGAGCGGCTGCACGAACGGCTCGAGCGTCTCGCGCTCGGTCTTCTCCCCGAAGTAGTGGAAGGCCTCCATGCAGGCGGCGGCGACGCGCGTGCACTTGTCGTCGAAGCCCTTGATGAACTCCGGCAGCAGCACGCTGCCCAGCTTGTCGCTCGACATGGCGTCCTCCTGGTCTATGCAGAACTGCTGCAACGCCCCCCACGCGCAGTAGCGGGCGCGCACGTGGGAGGACTGCAGCTGCATGTGCACGGCCGTGAGCATCTGCTCGGCGGTGGCCTCATCGTCGATGTGCTCGCAGCTTTGCGCCAGCGCGGCGAGGCCCGCGACGTGGCCCTTCCAGTTTGCCTGCTGTAAGAGCTGGGCGATCGCGGGCCGCAGCAGCTGCAGCACGCCGTCGAAGGCCTCCGCGGTGGCGGCATACGTGCACAGGCGGTTGATGGCCTCCTGGCCGAAGGCGTAGTTCTCCTCCGCCTCGGCCTCGTCCTCATCCTGCACAGCCCAGTCCTCCACGTCGTCGTCGAGCTCCATGAGGAAGGTGAATATGATGTCGAGAATAGCGCTGGCGGCGCCCTGCGTCTTGAGCACCATCTTTGTCTTGTTCTCCAGGATGCACAGGAGCACCTCCAGGGCCAGCTTCCTCGCGCCGTTCTCCTTGTGAGACTTCGCAATGGGGCAAAGCACCGGGAGCACGTGCGGGCCGAGGTGGTCCTTGAAGATGTCCGCCACCTCCGCGGTGGCCTGCATCGTGGTGAGTACCGCCTGCACGTGCTTGGGGTCCGGCAACTGCGCGAGCCCGGCCAGCACCTGGAAGACCTCGGGCACGAAGGGCGTGAAGGCCCTTCTGTCCCCCTTCTCCGACAGGTCGCTGACCAGCTGGCAGTACATGCAAGCGCCGTTGGCCCTCACTGCCTCGCTGCCGTCGGCAAGGCAGGCCTTCACCACCTGCGCCGTCTGCTGACCGCCGGCGACGAGCACCTGCCACACCGAGACGGACGCCTCCTTGACCACCCACAGGCAGTCGGCGCGCAGCTGCGCCGGACGGGACGTGTCGCAGATGACGCGCATCAGGAACGGCATCAGCTCGGGCCACGCCTCACAATTGGCCGGGCGAGCCTTCTCCTCGATGTCGATGATCTGGTTCGCGAGGCTCTGCACGCAGTCGGCCACCTTGCGCCGCACCTTGTCGTCCGCCTCATGCTCGATAAGCTGCAGCAGCTGCGCGCGCACCTGCGCGCGCTCCGCATCTCCGCCCAGCCTCTTCCACAGGGAGCCCTCGTCGCGCACCTTGCCGAGGCACTGCCGCAGCAGCACCGCCGCCTGCTCGCGGACGGCCACCTCGCACTGCGCGGTGCTCAGCACCTGCACGAGCGCCGCCACGGTGGCAGAGGGCATCTGCTGCTTAGACTCATCGTACCGCTTCTCCGCTGCCGACCGGATGGCGTTGTCGGCGCTGAGGAGCGCCTTGAGGACCTCCACAAGTTCCGCCATAGCCGCGCCACAGCTCGAACGCGAGATCGCGCGCGCGCGTGCCGCGTCGAAGGCTCTCGGCTCGGATCCAAAGGACTTGAACCAAAGTGGCTACAGATGTCAATGCCGTCTATGTGGACCACGGCGAACGATGCGTTCGGTGGTTGGGGCAGCCAATACGGTGTTGAATCGTTTCGCGCGGCCACAATTACGAGCAACCACTCCATACACTGCGTTCGCGTGCCACACACAGGTATTGCCTGATACACTGCAGGGCTCCAATGTTGTCCTGTGTGTCGCAACCTCAGCACGAACATCCGCCACCGTGCCCCCGGCACGCAAGAATGAACACGTCCTTCCCGTGGCCCCTGGTACAAAAACACTGGAGGACTCCGAAAGTAAGGGGTCCTCCGCTAACGGGGGCTCACGGGCTTCACTACGGCTTGTCACGTGGCTCTTCCCGACGCAGAGCATACTTACGAATCGTGGCCTCCAACATATCCCAAGATTCGATCGTAAGACTTGTTCAGGCCTGTGCTGCGTGAACACGCGCCAGAGCTCATGCCGCACACGACGGCCAAACTCTCGAGGGGAGGCGATGGAGCGAGTTCCCGGAGGAGGAGGAGGAGGAGGAGGAGGAGGAGGAGGAGGAGGAGGCGGAGGCGGAGGTGGGGAGCGTGCCCCAGAAAGGAGCCTGGCATGAAGACCGAAGCGGTCCACGAGGGGCCGACCCGGAGCGAAGCTCGTGGCCGGCCCCTGGCCGGCGACCCAACATATCCCACGATGGCCACGATGAGCATACCTTTGGGCCGTCTTCATTGCATCTCGGGCCGTCCTGGGGTTCGTGTGAGCCAGCCCCAGCTGCCATCGTCATCAACTCTCTTCTGTATACTTTGGAATTGGCCTCAGAACTTGTTCTCAAGCGAGTCCAAGACGGACCAAGAGGTGCCCAAGACCTCTCCAGTACCGTTTCCGATGCCCCCTCATGAGGGATAGAACATGCCCCGAAGACAGACCATGGACTGAAAAAGCGCGCCGCGGACGAACCACAGGAAACTTCGCCCCCAAGACGGCCCCAAGACTCTCAACTGGTCCCAAAGAAGCTGAAGAGAATGGGGATTGAAAATTCACTGAACGTGGAAATGGCCAGGGCTGGAAAGACTGGCAGAGGCTGGGACGAGCCCGTGACGGCTTGAAGGTCACGAGGGCTGGAAATGCTGGGGGAAACTTGCCAGGGCTGGAGACGAATGAAAGGACTGGCCCTGGCCACTCTCCCAGGCCTCCCTGCCCTGGGCCTTGTCGAAAGCTTCCCACCTGCCCTTCGGTCCTCTGCGCCGCTCGCCGCCGGGACCCCAACGGGGCCCCGGGAGATCGTGTCCAAACCCCCACACGAACCACACGCAGCCCCCACCACAAAAAGCACACGCAAACGCCCAAGACTGGCCCAACACGCCCTCCAAGACCGCCAAAGTGCTTACGGATGCCACAGAGATAGCCCGGCCCTATATAGCCCAACCGCGGCCCCATGAGTTCCCACGACACTCCCCAGTAGGACCAAGGGCATATCGAACAGGCCCTGAAAAGGCAAACATAATCCAATCACGGAGGTTTCGGTACGCTCATCAATTCTCAGGCTTCCGAAAATCTGCCCCAAGAGGCCCCCGAAACGGTCCGGTCCAAGAGGGCCCCCAATCGCGAAACGATCGGTCCAAAACGCCTTCACTCCCTTCAGACTGCCCAGGAAGCCTCCAAGACGCCCCAAGAAACCTCCAAGAGCACCCCCGAGAAGGCCCACGAGACAAAAATCATTGATTCAACCTTGGTTTTTGAAAACTGTGGCGTTTTCGGCTTTTCCGCTCCCCGCCGCTCCAAGACGGCCCCGGACCCAAACCAGCCCAAGAGGACTCCAAGACACCCTACAACGCCTCCACGACGGCCCATGAGGCCCCCAAGACGGCTCCAAGACCGTGCCCAGACGGTCCCAGGAGGCCCTAAGAGGTTCCCAAGAGGCCCCAAGAGGCCCATTCGAGATCCCCAGAAGCCCGAAGAGACCCCAAGAGCCCCCGAAGAGGCCCCCAGAGGCTCCAGAGGCCCCCAAGAGCTCTGGCCCACGTCAGCGTCGTCGTCGTCGTCCTTCTCCTCCTTCAGGGTCGGCAATACTGGCCATAAGGCCTTTGCAATATGGATCTCGCCTTAGCGCCGCGAAGACTAGTCTGAAACAAGTGCAGCAGCTTCGCTGATGAAGGCGACGTTTCAAAAAAGGGCTCTCGCCTCAGCTCCGCGCGCTCTCATCTTAAACAGTTGCGGCAGCTTCACGGACAATCGAGTGGACGCCCGTAAGGGGCTATGTGGCAGTTGCTGACCCCCCTGTTCGTTGCCGAGCGCGGGGGGGGACGGTGGCGCACCGTCCCATCGCCCGCCGCCGCACCGCGCGCCTCGGCGGATTCCCAAAGACCTGGCAAGGCAAATCATGCGCGACTCTGCAAACATCTCTGGGGGTAAAATTGAACAAATCCAAAAACATGTTTGAACATGTCCGGCCTACCTTTTGAAAAACACCAGATCGTGTTTTGAAAATTTTGGGATCAATTTTGAAAACTTCCGGAATCCGTTTTGAAAAATCCCGGATTTCAGAATTCTTCAAATGTCCTGCGCGGCGGGCGCATTCCACCCCTGAAACCTTTTTTTCCTTGGAAAAAATCTGGGCTCCTTTTTGAAACATTCCGGAACCGCTTGCGCGAAAAAAACATGGAAGCGTTTTCTGACACAGTCAACAAACCAGAAATAATGTCCAGGCGGTCCGACGGGCGCGGCCGGCTGATTCACGCGCCGCGCCGCGCGATTGGGCGCAGCGCGCGCCGCGCGTTGCGCCCGCGAGCAGCACTCGAAGGGGCCACCCCGAAAACAGATATCGCCGCGCACATTCGTATTCAACGATTGCAACCGCTTCACGGATGGATGGCGTTCTCTTTCAACACAAGGCTCTCGCCATAGCGCGGGACACATGGGTCAAACATATACAACTGCTTCACGGATTAAGCGGGGGTGGTTTTCGAAATGTGGCTCTCGCTTGTGCGTCGCGCACACTCAACCAGGTTCACAAATCTACGACGGCATGTTCAAAGTGTGGCGTTCGCCCTGGCGCCGCGAACAGTCGACTTGAACGTTTCTAGCAATTACACGGAAACATGAAACTCTTCAACATGAAACTCTCGCTTTAGCGCTGCGCATCTGCCGGTTTAACAGTTAGTGTTTCGGAAGCCTTTTCAAGGGGAGGAACAGTAAGTGATGGAAGGGAAGCCTTTTCAAAGTGGGGCGTTCGCCTTCCGCAACCGAACGTTCGTATCAACATCTTCCAGCAGTTCCAAAGCTCGACTACTAGTGGTTATCAAAATGGTGTCATCGCATCAGCGCAACGTTTTTCAATATGGATTGATCACCTGAGTCTTCGTGTCAACTTGTGAAAGGCTCGGAGTTTCAACGCATGTAGCGGTGCACGGACACATGGCGGTTATGTTTCAGAATGGAACAATCGTTTGAGAGTTCGGAACACATGGTCATACGTGAAAACACCGTGCGACAGTTACACAGATGAGGAACGGCGGTCCTTCTTCGGAAAGGGTGGTATCGCTAGGCTTCCTGCTGAACTGTGTGATAAATGTCTTCAGTGCTCCTCATTATGCGCCACTGGAATGCAAGGCGATACCTGTTCAAAGCGGTGCCCTCGCCAACATGGCATGCCCATCGTTGCTGGTCTTTGCAATGGAAAGAAAACTTGTAGGGGCGCATGAGGAAAAGACTTGAGACGGGAGGGTTTATTGTAAGATCGTTTACGCATAATTGGTTGACTCTGGTCCTCCTCCTCCTCCTCCTCGTCCTCCTCATTATCTTCCTCCCTCCTCCCCCTCCTCCCGCCCCCGCCACTCGCGGCGTCCCCAGGCCTCGTCCATCTGCACCTTCAGGCGTTCCTGGCCGCGCGGGACGCAGACGGGGGAGCGCGTGGAGAGGAGCAACGACAACAGAGGACGATGCGCCGAGTGGCAGGATGAAGCGAGGCAGCGGCAGCGGTGGAGCAGGCGAGGCTATCGAGCATACAATGAAGGCCGCAAGCGCGCATGAGCGGGCCTGCAGCTAAACCTGGCCAGAAGAGCTGCCCAGGACCAGAATCGATCGAAACTGAACGACGGCCACAAACAAAACTAAATGAATTTAGACACTGCGACTTATGAAAAAAAGCTCCGACCACTGCACCAAGGGGTCATCCACATGGAGCCCACGGGACGTGGGCATGGGGTGTCTTTGCCCTCCTTGCGAGTGGCAGCCCGAGGCGAAAATATCGCTGCGCCACCTCCATTGGGGGTTCCCCAGCATCAACGTGGGATCGCATTCTGCGAAGAGCTGCAAACGAGCGGAACGCTCGGAAGATCCACAACGCGCGCAGGCGATTCGATCTCCAGCTCCATACAGGATATGCCCCACTGGCGGCCTCGGGCGGGACGGGGCCCGCAGGGGGGGTGGGGGGGCGCATTTCTGCGAGTTCTGCCAGGGGCCCGACTCGGGGCCTCGAGCCGCGGGCGCTTCCCCGAGCCAGCGGCGAGGGCAGCCGCGGCCTCCCGCGCGACCCCTCAGGGTCCGCTCTCGAACCTCGCCCGAAATGTCGTCAGCCTTGTAGAAACTCCGCAGCGTCGCTCAATGACCCGGCCTGGGGCCCCGGGCCAGGAGCGGAAGAGAACGACTGAGGCAGGAGCGAGAGGGGGCGGAGGGGGGGCACCGGTAGCTGCTGCAGGAGACCCCAAGGGCGGGGGAGGAAGAGAGGCGAGTTCCCCCAACCCGAGCCTGAGCTCCCCGTGCCACGGGGGGCCGTCGGAGTTCCCCAGGGCCTCGGGCACCACGCGCCGCCTCTTGCGGGGGCCTCCGTAGCCCCCGTCCTGGGCCCCTCGGGCGCTCTGAAGGCGCGCGGGGTCCCGAGGGGGGACGGCCGCCCTTTTGGGTACAGGCATCCTCAAAATCTAGGCGCGGACGGCCCAGCCGCCAACGCGCTCGGCGGGGAGCCCCGCCCCACTGGCCCGCCGCACTCTACAAGCCTTAACCTTCATCCTCGCAAGGCCCAGACTGGATCTCGCGAAACGAGGGCCGTGGAGGCAGCGCCCATCATTTCTCTGCTGCGCTGGGGATGGGGCCTGCTCGGCCGGCCCAAGGCGCGGGCCTCGGCCCGCGCGGCGGCGGGCGCGACGCCGCCCTGGCTGGGCGCGCCCGCCGTCGGCGGCGGCGGCGCCGCCAAAGCGTCGAGCTGCGCGGCGCTGGCCCCGCGGGCGGCGCGTCAGCGGCATGACGCGGTCCGGGACGCCCTTGGCCTCCAAAATCTCCCGCGTGTTCCGATCCACGAGGCGGTCTGGCGGGCCCGGTCCATGAGCCTGCTGCGCTCGTCGGTGGCGCCCCGCTGCACCGCGTGATTCGCCAAGCCGCGCTTGGCGGCAACGTCCGCACAATCGTTGCCTTTCTTCCCTTGCCGCTGGATGCCGTCCTCAAGCGTCTGGCGAGCCTGGCGCACATGAAAAAAAAGAAATAGCGTGTTCTACCGCTGCTAGCGGAAAACCGGGGGGGGTCACTACCGGTTCGAACCCCTCCCCCCCCCCCTCCGGAAAACCGGGGGGTCACTACTGGTTCGAACCCCTCCCCCCCCCCCCAGTTCATCATGAAAAGGGGGGGGGTCACTACCGGTTCGAACCCCCCCCCCCTCGAGCTCGAAAACCGGGGGGGGTCACTACCGGTTCGAACCCCCCCCCCCCTCGAAAACCGAGGGGGGGTGCGGACAGTGGTGGGGACGGTGGTGGTGGGGACAGTGGTGAGGGGACAGCGGGACAGTGGTGGGGACAGTGGGACAGTGGTGGGGACGGTAATGGTGGGGACAATGGTGAGGACAATGGTGGGAACAGTGGGGACACTGGGACTGTGGTGGGGACGGTGGTGGTGGGGACAATGGTGTGGGGACAGTGGGAATGTGGTGGAAACAGTAGGACAGTGGAGGGTACAGTGGTGGTGGGGACAGTGGTGAAGGCGGTGGCGAGGACGGCGGTGGGACAATGGGAAAGAGGTACAGTGGGGACAATGGCAGGGACAGTGGGGACAGTGGTGGGAACAGTTGGACACCTCAGTGGTTCGAACCGGTAGTGACCTCCCCCTCCGGTTTACGAGGGGGGGGGGGTTCGAACCGGTAGTGACCCCCCCCGGTTTTCGAGCTCGAGGGGGGGGGGTAGGGGGGGTGGGGGTTGCCGGGGGAAGGGGGGGGGGTCCAGCAAGGGGGGGGGATTTTCGGAAGGGGGGGGGACTCCCGGGCTCCGGAGAAAAAGGGCGGCAATTTTCCACAGCAAAGCGGCGGTGGATCACGCTCTCTCAAAAAAGGATATCCTGGGTTTCCCGGGCCATCGATCTCCACCAACAAGCGCGCCCAGAAGTCCCGATTCTGGCGCCGTGGGCGGAAACGCCAGTCCGCCAGTCACGGCCATTGCGAATACCATGAGCATCACACCGACAGTGTGGGCGTGCAGCGGGAGAGTACCATTCTTCATGTTCATGAGCACCGCGAACAATTCAGCTCGCGGCGCTGACCGCTGCGTTCCCGGTGGTAGTCGAACAACTATCCCCCTGAGCCGCCGCCCATCCACCAGGGCCAGATCCCATCCAACCCGGCATCCTTCAGACCACCCAATCAGTGTGCGTCTCGAACCGCCAACGTATACCGCACCAGTGATATGCTGTAGCTGGGCACCGTGGGTACAGTACCAAATCTCCGCGCGCATAACGGCGGCGCCTGTGGCGGGGCATCTCGCGGGAAAGGACCACGCGTGCGCGGCGCATCATTGCGCGGCGATTGACGCGCTGCCTCCAACGTTTCAGGCCCAACTGCCATCGCGCATTCCTGCGCCAGCGCAAAACAGCACCATGGCCTGTGGTGCAAGGTGCTTTCGTGGTCACGGCAAAATGCACACTCCGCGGCGTCGGCATGCCCACGCATGCGTAGGCGATACTGAGACCACTGCCCAACTACAACAGCGTTGCGTTAGGCTCCCCAAGCCCGCAGGGCAAGATGGCACAAGCGACTCTGCTCCTGCGGCGCCAGCAGTGAACGGAATGAGGCCAGCCTGTATCCACGAGACGATCCCCTTGGGGCCTCGGGCCCCAGCGCATGGCAGATCGGGTTGCCCAGCGCGTCTTCTCGTAAACACGTCGCGCCAAAGTCCGTGATCACTCTGGTGAAGTATCTGCGGGTGACAAATCGACGCCCGTGGCAGTGGCCCAATGGAACGGCGCGCGTGCTCGCCATCGCAGCTCATCCAAGATGCATTTCACAGCACCGACAGGGCCTGCTACGCCCTCGTAAGCTGCGAGCTCCCGCAGCTGGCCGTCATACGTACTGGCTGCGGTTGGGCAAGAGCCTTCGCCACCGCAGAATTGCCGATCGCTGGGTCGTGAAAAAGGCGCCCCATGTGTACAGCGAAAGCACTTGCTGACGTCGGCGAGCAGTTCAGCGCCGCCATGTCGCTGAGACTCTGCTGCGCCCCCCAGTGCTGCAGCGTTCTGGCGCCGACCGCTGGCGTCGACTTGCCAGCTCTCCGCGCGAAATTCAGCCGGCGACGGCAGCGACGCCACGGAGCAGAGCCCGCTCCGTGGTCTGCCCCGCAGCAGGAGGTGAGTGGACACCGTCGCGGAAGGCCACGCGGCCAAGACTCAGCCGCCCAGAACACGCACCGCATGAGTGCCAAGGCCAAGTCTGATAGCGACGTCCAAGCCATGAGCGATATACCATCAAGTCCAGGCCCCGTGCCCGACCTGAAGCACATCGACGCGCCCCCGACCTCGTCGGGGGCGGGTAATGAATAGGCGGACAGCTTGGCTCTGGCATCCAGGATGTCCTTATGGCCCGTGTCGACGAGGCGCTGCGCGTCGCAATTCACGTCGTCGTCGAGATTGCCGCGGCCACTGTCCTAACTGACGCGGCACCTGACGCAAGACGGCTTCACCACGACAGGCGCGCCGTCCCAGATCGCGTTCCACTCGTCGAACTGGCCGTCGGCCATCGACTGCGGACGAGAGAGAAGCTGGCTGCGGCGCTGGACCTGGCCGCGGTCCCAAGTCGAGACGCGCCGTGGCGAAGAGCGGCGCAGGTCCCGCAACCAGCCTGTCCAGAGGCCTTGCATGCGCGAGGTTTGACAGGGGGCAGCTTCGCGCCCCCGTCGATCTGCGAGCCCATGAAAACGACGCGCGTGGGCCCCCATGCAAGTTCGAACCTGCGGGGGCGCGCGCTGCGCGGCGAGGTGGGCGGTCGGCCGGGCCGTGCCACGCAGCGAGACACCCCCCGCACATGGAGATATGGGCGACGCCCGCGGCGAAGTGCACGAGCGAGCAGTGCCCGGCGATCCGCTCCACGGCGCTCGTCCGTCATGAAGCACATGGACATGCACTGCACGTCCAAGCGCGCGGAGATAGCGCCCCCCACTGCCAGCGGCAGGGTGAGGTCCGCGCTCGGGCCCTCCAATGGACCTCCACGTGCGACGGGCGCCGTCCGCCCGCCCCTCATGTTGAAGACGCCGTTCCAGGTCCAACTGGCAGACGTGGCCCAGGTCGCTCTCGAAGTTGGCGAGTAGCGCGGGGTGCGAGGCGCCCAGCCCGCGCTGCGCCCCAGCCCTCGAGGCGGGGACGCCCTGGCGCGCGCCGCTCTCGGCTGCGCGCATGCAGCTGAGCTCCGCGGGCGGCCCATGGAGCGGATCGCATCCTCGAGCAGAAGGTGGGGCCCTCCGAAAGACCCTCGGCGCGCGCGTAGTCAGCCGCTGCATCTCCCTGGCCTGCGCTGCGAAGTCAAAGCGCACAGACTTGCGGGGTCGAGCAGGCCGCGCGTCGAGTGCGCGAGGATCCTGGCGCGCGGCGCGCAAGTCCGCCGAGGTCATCCACTGGCCCGACATGGCGCAGC